TTAAACATCAGAGAAGTGACTGCTTGAAAATATGAACACTCTAACCAAACTCAAGAGATGCTTTCAGCACATATTTAAACAAAAATATTGTTTGGTGCATACAGGCACCTGAAAATTTCTTTGAGACTTCTTCACATAGCCAAAAACACATAGTGTTACTATAAACAAATCATTTTCAATAACAGCTTTACAGTGTTAGAAGTATGACTAGTATGAGTTAAGTAACTTTCTTACTTAAGATTTCTTCATAATTTTATTCCCACTTGGCTAAATGTTACAATTTAACACAGTGTATAATTATTCTATTTAATAGAATTGTTGTATTCTATTTAAATGGAATGCTAATCATAATTATTAATAAGGGTATTCTTGTGATTGCCAAACAAATGCCAATACAGTCCTGTTGTTTTGCTTTATAGTTTGTATTGTCATGTGTATTTGTTTAACAACAAAAATATCTGATCTGAAGCCCTCTAAAGTAAGGGGAGTCTTTCCATTGACTCTAGTGGCCTTTGGATAGGAACCAATAAATTTAATGTATTGAACACAAAATGAAGGTATAACTATAATTAATCATTTTTTTTATTTACCTAACCTTAGCAAACAATGAATATAAATGCCACCAACTATTTTGTCAGCTTAAATTCTCTTTTAAAATTCCTTGTTTATTCAGTCATATACTGATACATTGTCCACTCATTTCAGTGCAATATTTTTCAGTTTAGAGAAAAGAAGCTATTATCTGGTTCCCATCGTCACATAATAGAAACTTTTAGATATCATTGGTAAACTCAGCAGAAATAATTATAACTAATCTTGGAAAGATTGTAAATTATCATTTATATGTATGATCTGACATTGAAGAGGGGTACAAAGACAACAGCTGAAGACTCACAGAATAGTTTTGCAATTAATAAATGCCTGACCATGCAGTTCTTCTGTGATTAGCTCCATTGAGGTTAATGTTTGCTATAGCACCTTGAAAAATAGAATACACTATTCAAATGTATGTATTATTTAGTAGGGATCTTTAAAGGCTTTATCTCCGGTAGCTCCAATTGGTCATCTTCCTCTAGCTCACCATTCTTGTTTTGTCCCTGTTTCCTCTCCCTTCACCTCCCACAATACAACCAACATAGTTATTACAGCATTACGTTGTGTCTAGATAATTCCTAGTTCTGCAATGGTGCCCTGCATTTTGTTTTTCTTTATTTTTCTTCCCCACAAGTTGTTTCTACATTCATCTCCAGGAAGGACTGGAATAAAATTTGGGTACTTTTCTTAGTAGGCTAACTCCTTCATTGACTACCCAGACTGTCTCTTTGGCATTGATCACACAATCCCAGGGGCCAGTCTTTCAGTTATGATTAATGTATAAATTAGTAGTAATGTTCTGTGTGTATAGGCAGCTCCGTCAGTCTAGAATAGATATAGAAAAGAATAGCCTTTACTGTATTATGCCAGTCTGACTTGAATCTGTGTTCAAGGGACAACCTTTAGGTATGATAAGGTTGTTTAATCTCCCTATCCATTCAGTCTTTAGACCCTCTTCTAGGACTGCTGGTAGTAGTAGTAGTAATAATAATAATGATGATAATAATGCCTATTTTTTACCTAGCGTTTTTCATTGATTGAGCTCAAAGGGCTTCACAAAGGTCAGGATCATTATTCAATTTTACAGACTGGGTAAACTGAGGCACATAGTGGTTAAATGTCTTGGTGTATCGTTATCTTATGGCTTCCCTAAACTCTTGGGATTTTATATTAGTTTGGCTAATCTTTCCCTTCAGATTTAGTTTTGGTTTTTTTTAGCCACAAAAGAGCAACTCTTTGCACCCTGTATATGGACCTTGTCATTTATGAAGGCACAGGGTGGATAATCAGAGAGCCACAACTAGCACCCTTCCAGATCCCTCTCTGTGCTTCACTGAATATAATATCAGTGAATCTGGTCATGTAGGATTTTCTGGAAACCTGCAAAACCATCAAAAGACTGAGGGAGTTTAGTACTACTCTGTACTATTGTATAACTGTGTAGACTTTTTGAAGTCCGTCATTCTTCCCACAAATGTAAATCATAGATTGTTGTAATACAACATTTTGTCAACACAGTTTACAAACTCTAAAAATGATTAAATTCATATTTACAAAAATATAATAGTCTATTAAAATCAGAAATGCTTTTGGGGATTTGGGCACATGTACAATTTTTGTTGGAGTACAACATGGTTCCTTTCTGTCCAAATGAAAAGATATAGTTCAATAATTTTGTAAAACTTTAACAATGATCTTGTAGCAAATTGCACCAAACTGGAAGAAATTCTTACATTATCATTTCAGAATAATACTTCACAGAAAGGGAAATATAGTACTCTCCCTTCTAATGAATTATGTACATTTATATGTGGAAAAATAGAAAATTCTACGTGCAAATATTTCTGGAGCCCTTTGACTAGAAATCAAATTTAAATAATATAGACATTCATAAGCAGCCAGTGCTACTAGTAGGGTGTGATTAATTTCAGGTTTTACTCCATTTAATGTTGTCCCTTTTGGGTGAACTTCCAGAACCATTTTGGTATGTTTTTTCCCTCCCTCCCCTCCCCCCCCAATAAAAGGAATGTGAAGTGACGAAGGCCAAAAAGAGAAAGATGTATAGTAAAAATATTTTTTTAAATAGTGTCTTCATCTTCATCCATTGGTGGTGCTACAGATTATAAGAGAAATGCTGTAGGAAGACTATCACATACATACAATAGCCCCCAATTTTTTTCAGTCTAAGTTTCTACCAATGACTTCCTCTTTTTCACAAATAAATAAATAAAGCATGTTCCCTATTCTTAATTCTTAGTGTCTTTTTAGTAACAGTATTTTCCAACTTCAGAGACTCCCTTTCGGTTGAGAGAGAAACATCCTAACACTATTGTTTTATTAGCTTAATTTGAAATGTCACCAAAGAAACTATTGAATTCCCCACTCTACTGCTGTCAGCTTGGAGTATCTTCTTTTAGTAATTTATGTCTCTAATTAAAGAATACCCTGAAAGTTCACAATGAACATCCATTAATGATTAAATACCGTAATTCCTTGCTACCGAATAAAGGTCCTGTATATCCAAGTAACGCCTTCTAAAAATTTGCTACCATTATTATCATTGATAAAATGACCTAGTGTATTTGGGGCCATAGCCACATCTGCTCTAAGTAGTATCAGAAAATAATTGCGATGAAAAATTAAATAGGCTACATATGTGTAGATTGGCTAAGCCACTACTAAAATGAGGGACACACTAAAAATACTTGAAGAGTAAAAATATCAAGAAAAGAGAAACATGGCTTTCCATAGGGGGAGAGAAACAATGGGATAAAATTACAAAAGGGAAATGTTGAGACAGTGAGATATTGTTACTCTATAGAATATGCTCTAAGGGGAAGTAATGAGAGTGCCATTGCTTGGGACTTAAAATGTGTAAAATAGACTACACATATATCACAGGGTCTACTCATGTTTTGGCTAAGCTGATAGGCCTTTTTCATTTCTAATCTTTGTGATTAGCTTAAATGCAGCTAATTAAAAGTATTGAAAACAATTTACCTGAAATGGATAAATTAGAACAGGTTCTGTAACTGGCAAGAAAGACACTTGTACAATTCTATTATGCTTACTTAACTTCATAGCTTGGTAATAAAGACCTTAGACAACTGCATTATTTTTGGTATTTTCCTCTCTAAGGATTTACTACACAATGTAAGATGTGCTGAGCAGAATATTAGAGAATTTTAGACAGACAGACATTTCTTTGAAGTGTTGATTTTCTTAAAATAAAATTACATCTATATTGGCACACTTGATATATTACTCTCTTGACTAAGGAGAAACTACTCATCTTGTCTTAAGCTGCTTGTTTGGTGATACCAGTAGTTTCATTACTGAGGGCATGTTTACACTAGAAAATTATTCTGAAATAACTAAATTTGAAATAATAACTCCATAAAATAACAAAATCGAAATAGTGTGTCCCCTCTATGGAGAAGCCTCAAAATTAGTCTGGGTCAGACTCCGTTATTGTGGACCCACTACTTCAACTTAGAGCAACAGGAAATACTGGGGGGAGTAATTGCTTCGAATTACTCTGGGAAGTAGAATAGTGATAGAAATGTAGCCGTGTTTTGTCCTGCATTTTGCTTCTGGGAAGTAGTTATTTTGAAATAGCAGCAGCGAAGCATCCACGCAAACGCTATTTCGAAATAACTATTTTGAAAAAAGCATTATTCTCCAAGAAGTACAGATTTTGAAATAACCAACTTATTATTTTGAACTAACAGGCTTGGTAGTGTGGATGCTTCACTTACTGTTTTGAAATAAGGGGAGTTATTTTGTAATAATTCCCTAGTGTAGACCAGGGCTTAGGTATTTGATAGATGTTACTGACTATATAATGATTTGCTAGGATTTCAAATTTTGGGGGTGCAATGTCTTTATACATATTCTTTTGGGACAAATTCTACTTCATCAGAGCTAATGGCAAATTTTCCCTTAATTCAGTTAGGGAAAATCTGACTCATTGTATTTGTATTGATGTATTAAAATAGTAATCAAATGAAAAGATAAACCTGTAAACTTGCTTTTGTGTATGATTATAAATCATCTTTAATTATAAAAATGTCTTGTTTCTCTAATGTATCTTGTGCATAGTCTCTAAAATAATTTCAAAATATGAAGTAGGGAAACGTGAAGTAGGGAAATTTTGAAGAATTATTTATATTGCCTGTGTCTAGTAATTTTGCAGTTTCTTCCAAATACTGTACTATATTCACACTGATAAAAGCTTATTTTAAAACTTGAAATTTCTTTGAAGGAAAAACATATAAGACATAAGCTATGCAAACATATAAACAATCAAATTAGATAATTAGATGAAAGAATTTTTACTTTATTGCATTAAAAGTAATTTACTTTGAACTGGTCACATATTTCATGTCATTTGTTTGGTCATATAGCAAAAGACCTATCTGCTTCAGAAAGAACACACCCGCGTCCATTTTGTAAAGAGAGGATATCGTTTCGAGACCATCCAGTCCAGCTCAGTGGGGGATGGGGAAGTGGCAAGAAAAAGGCAAAAAAAATTTGAAGAATTAGTTGAAACTTCAACATGTAAAATATATGGAGAACTGTTTCTTTTCAAGAGGTCTGTGATTGTCATTTATTTTAGGATTCTCTCTCTCTCTCTCTCTCTCTCATATATATATATATATATAGTTACCAATTGGATAAAAAGTTTCAAATTACTGTTAGATTCATTTTACCGTGTGTTTTGCAAGTTTTTTGTTTTCTTTTTGTTTTCTGGTGACTATATTCTATACATATCTTATTTTGTATTTCTAGTTGCTTATGTGTTTATGTGGTATGGAATATAGACTCTGTTAACTTCTGTTACTATAATGTGATTTACTTATAACAACTAGTTTAGATGTATAAATTCAATAATGAGTCATGATTATTATTGAGGATGTATGTTAAAACCTTAAGTACTGATTTCTTGTAGTAGAATAATAATACATATCGGCTACGTCTACACTGGCATGATTTTCCGGAAATGCTTTTAACGGAAAAGTTTTCCGTTAAAAGCATTTTCAGAAAAGCACGTCTAGATTGGCAGGATGCTTTTCCGGAAAAGCACTTTTTGCGGAAAAGCGTCCGTGGCCAATCTAGACGCGCTTTTCCACAAAAAAGCCCCGATTGCCATTTTCGCGATCGGGGCTTTTTTGCGGAAAACATTACTATGCTGTCTACACTGGCCCTTTTGCGCAAAAGTCTTTTGGAAAAAGACTTTTGCCCAAACAGGAGCAGCATAGTTTTTCCGGAAAAGCACTGATGATTTTACAGTAGATCGTCAGTGCTTTTCCAGAAATTCAAGCGGCCAGTGTAGACAGCTGGCAAGTTTTTCCGGAAAAGCAGATGATTTTCCAGAAAAACTTTCCAATCTAGACACAGCCATCATGTTTATGCTTCTGAACTGTGTTGTGAAGTCTAATGGCCAAAAATGGCATCCTGACAAAAGTATACTTGTATGTATTATTGAAGAACCTGTGGAAATTCATAGAGCAATAGAAGATTATAAAACACTAGTATCTGTTTCTAGCAATATGAGATGTGTATATGAATTCTTCACTAGTATCTGTTTCTAGCAATATGAGATATGTATATGAATTCTAATGCTAAATTATGTTAGTACTGTTCTGTTGTGATGCTATGGCAAACTGCTAATGTTTTATATTTTCAAGGATTTCTAACATTTTTTCCAGTGGAAAATTTAATTTACCACCCTGACATTTTCTCCTGGGGTAATGTAATATTACTTCTCTAAGTCAATGATAGGCAGTCTCTATTTGTATAATTAGTTAGTCTCGTTCACACTAATGGGTACATACATCAAAGCTGTGTGATGCAGTTTTAATGAAGGAAGCCTGAGAAATAATGTGTTTGCCTTTAGCATACTTAAAATGGGTGCATAACTCTTATTGGTTTTAATTATCTCTATGTTCATCCATAGACAGGGAGAAAAGGCTGTTTGCTTTGTATTCCAGTTTTTAAACTGTTTCTGATCAAAGAGTGGAAACTGATAATTGGATATAAAAAAGCAAGTATTTGGTGTTTCCTCATCTGTTTGCTTTTGTCTCATCCTTTCTTGCGAAGCCTTAATTTCTACAAACAGATACTGAGGTGAGACCACAGTTAATAAAGAAAACATAAATTATTATGTTATTGTTTTTGGAACACGGTGTAACTTCCATATGACATTGCTATCTGAAGTATCCATCATGTTGTTATTTTTAACATCCGCAAGTTAATATGGATTGGAAATACTTAACTTTATCATCTTTTGGGACATGTCTATACAGCAGGGCTAAAGCCAAAATAAGCTATGCAACTTGAGCTATTTCAATTGCGTAGCTTAAGTTGAAATAGTTTATTTCAGCGTTTGGCACTGCCTACACAGCAGGAAGTCCGAGAAAGAACACTCTTCCTTCCAACTTCCCTTACTCATAAAATGAGAGTTACGGGAGTCAGATTAAGAAGTCCTCCAGCTCAATTTTATTTTGACATTATGTGGAAATAACTGCTTGTAGTGTAGATGTGGACTGTGTTATTTCAGAATAAAGTCAGTTATTCCAAAATAATATTGCTATGTAGATATTCCCTTACTGTCAACATTCCATAGGAAAGCTACATTAATATTGATGTTTAAGGACTTTTACTATTCCTATGCAAAGCTTTGGGTCATGGAGCTGATCTCTTCCTATTTAGTTGCCTTGCTATTTAAAGGAACAAAAACGTTGTTCTCTAATTCAAATCTACATGCTAATTTTTGTCATTGAAATTGTAAGACAAATTAATTGCTGCTTACTTCCCAGAGTTCTCTGTTCATAATGAAGGCTAATGTGACACAATGCTGGAAAGTAACTGGTGAGCCAGCACTTTGATCACTTAGAAACCAGTCAGTTCCCCTGGAAAAGGCTGACTGGAGATATGCAGCTAATTAGTCGGTCAGGGCAGGAGGGCTGATGAACCTATTAGTCATAAGCTGAAGGGCATGTCAGAAGGAACAAGAAGGGAGATCCTGGATTAACTGTGTCCCCGTATGCATTGAGACCTCAAGAAATGGAGACAGTTCCTCCTTCACTGTGTGAGACTGTATTAGTGATGGGAATACAACTGAATTCACACGTAGCTGCTACTTACTGGATAAATCTGAGAGATTTCTGGAGCAACCAAGAAAGGACATGGAGCATGTTCCATTACCTTATTCAGTTACCTTATTCATGATTAACAGAATTTTATTGATGAAACTGCCTGTGCAGTAAGCTACTATTCATCGTAAACAAGGATGTAACATGCCTGTATGTGATGTACAGTATGCAGTTCTTTTATATGTACGCAGAAAGTGGTACTTACCTGATCAGTTATCTGTTTTAGATAATTACTGCTAATTTGAAGATCAAAATGTGCCACTGGATGCCATGTAGATACCAAATTTGAAAACTATGACTACCATTATATAATCAAGAATGCAGGAACAACTTTCATCACTAAAATAGTATGGTTTTCAGTATCTGCAGCTGTACAGTCATCAAGTAGTTGTCTGACTATATGTTTAGTGTGTATCAGCTAAAACAAAGGTCCAAATGTAACATCTAGCAATAGATAGTGATCTGACTCACCCCCATGAATGTATCTGATGGTAATCTGCACCTCCTGCGCATGTAAGAGTGGCTAGAAATAAAAGAGATTTTTATCCCAAACTTCATGTGATATAGAGGGGAACTGTTCCTACTTTCATCAGAGCAGCACTGCAAATTTTGAAAAGTTAAGAACCATCTCCAAGCATGAATAAAAAGAAAGCTCTTTATGCCAACTGATTTAGCATCCTCAGTTAAGACTTGAACTATGTGATAAGAAAGGGTAGTTTTGTCTTAACTGCTCCACAACATAATGTATGGGCAAGAACTTCGCAATGACAGAATTTTGTAGCCTTCTTATTTGTTACAGTATTATATTTTGTCAGCTATTCCACAAATTAGCATGTTGTGGTATAGTTTAAATAGTATATCTATCCAAAAGTCAAGAATGAACTACGCTAAAATATGCTGCAGCCTTTACTACATCATTCACTATTACATTGTATTATCAGAGTTTACAATTTGCTTTTTTCAAAGAGCTCTATCATCTGATGATTAGAACATCAAAGGTGCCCTACATCTGGTCAAATATGGGCAAAGGGATCTGATCCAACTCCCACTAAAGGAATGAAAAGATTTCCATTGATTTCAGTTGGAGTTGAATCACTCTCTTAAACTGCATACATTTTATGGTGGATGGTGCACAACTTTGTAATGTCTGATATGAATAAGTACAAATGTCTGCCCTGGGATGAAGATAGACATCAGGATCCGCAGATGCACAGGGCTCTAGTCCCAAGAAGCACAGCTGCTAACAGAGAGGGGAACATAGTTCATCATTTCTAGGAGCCAGCTGTCCATGCTGGCAGTTCCTCCTGGTATTGCTCCCAGCCCAGCTGCCAGTGAGGTTGTATGATCCCAGACAGGAGACAACATGGCTCAGGGTGGGGCTGGCAATACAGGTGCACTCCCACCTTTGGAACTAATCTCTGGCAGCAGTATCTTTTGTAAGTAGAGCCATGTGGATCTACGTATCCCAATGTCTATCTTCAGATATCTGCATCTTCAGGTAGAATTTGTATGCACGCAGAGCTCTACATATGGCAGCATATTTATGAGATATGCCATCTTTTCCACTATTAATTGGGACCCAGTTCTTTACAACAGTGGTTTCCAAGAGGTGGGCTGAGGATGCCTGGGCATCACCTCCATTTGAAAGTTTTTAGAGGTCCATACCTGGAGGAAAAAAAGTTGAAAACCACTGTTTTATATCACAAAGGTGTCAGATGCTTCTTCCTGTATGCATCAGAAAATATGTCCTAGTTAAGAACATGTTCAGAGTATTTTCAAGGAAAATTTTCCCCAGGCACCAGTTATCTTTTCTGAAGTCAGAGCAGGAGTGTGTTGGTTGAGAAAATGCTGACAGAGACTAATTCCTGGAGGAAAAAAAGTTGAAAACCACTGTTTTATATCACAAAGGTGTCAGATGCTTCTTCCTGTATGCATCAGAAAATATGTCCTAGTTAAGAACATGTTCAGAGTATTTTCAAGGAAAATTTTCCCCAGGCACCAGTTATCTTTTCTGAAGTCAGAGCAGGAGTGTGTTGGTTGAGAAAATGCTGACAGAGACTAATTCTGAC